TGAAGTTCTCCATTATTTGCACCCTTTTTTGTTGGGTCCTAGGGAGAAAATTTAAATCCATGGATGGTATTTTTTATTTTTTGGACTCTTTGAGGGTTTAGAGGCCCTATTTGGCCTTGTGTAGCTTTTGAGGGACGTGTTCCCCTTTTGAATGCTCCAGCCAAGCGAGAAGTCCCAATACATGTTTACTTTTTTGAATAGCTAATTTTGTTTAGTGGTAGAAAGGTAGTAACTTTAATGTCTGTCTAGTTGTCAACTAATAATCATTTAAGAATTCATATTATCTTATTAATATTCTTAGAAGAGCTATTAGTTGTGAATGTAGCATTTTATCATTCAAATTATTTTCTAACAATATTGAAGATAAATGTCATCCTCTGTTGATGCCGTCTTTCCATTTGAATTTGTATTGGCCAGTGTGCTTTATTTTTCAGATGAATTCTCTTTTAAACATGCAAATCTGTTTAGTTCATGCATTAACAAGTTGATAGTATTGATCTCCAAAAGAAACCACAGTTCATGTCTTAGTGTTTCATGATTGGCTTTGGCTGCTCAAATATGCTGTATGTCACGAGTCTGGGAAATTTTCTTTAGGGACTAAACTATAAGCTTCAACTTGGTTTTCATAGCTTGATAGGATGCATACATTGGTGATTTTAAGCTTTACTGTTGAAAGGCATGTGAAAAAAACAAGTGCTGTGTATTTTTTGGTGGTTGAGAAGGCTGAAAAAGACTTGACCTTTTAGAGTTCCATGTCCAAGGACACCATTTACCCCTAACATTGTATATTGTTTAGTGCTATGTTTGGGAGCACCGATTCGGTGCCTCTAAATGCAACATAAGTGGATTTCAGATGATCAATTTATTTATATTGCTGTATGTAGTGTCACCCACATAAGTTTTTAGGTGATCAACGCATATGCTTGCACTACATAATTAGGAGTTTCACCCATCTAATAGCCAAGATTAGATATCACCACAGCTAGGGATGGCAATTTGACCGGCCCCGCCCCGCCCCGCCCCGCCGTGCCCTACTCCGTTTTGGCGGTTTTGGGGGACCGTTTAGCTTATTTGGGCGGGGATGGTTTGATGTAATAAAAACCCGTGTAGATTTGATGCGGGGGCGGGGGGAGGTTGCCCCGCACCACCCCACCCCGTTTAGATAGGAAAATTACTTAAGTACCCTTATTTCATTAGTATATATATTTTCCAGTATATATATTAAGTACCCTATATAACAATATTAAAGTAAAAAATGAATTTGATTAGAAGGAAAGTTATAATGGTGAAGAAATGAAGATGAGGGAAAAAAAAGAAGAGCAAATCTATTTCAACAATAAATAAATTATGGTCTTAAACGGAGCGGGGTGGATACCCGCGGGGGTAAAAATGTTAAACGGTTACAAGGATGGGGTGAAAAATCCCCCCGTTTTTGCGATTTTGGGCGGAGACGGGGGCGGGGTTTTTAAACAGTTGCGAGGGCGGGGGAGGGTACACCCGCCCAAACCCGCCCCCGTTGCCATCCCTAACCACCGCAGTGCACCACATATGCTCATGTGTCCTAGTTAAAGATTGGACTTTTCTTATTTGAACCGAACTAATAGTATAATTATATAGAAGTTTCTCTTAAAATAGTCGTCTTGAGTGTTTCTATACCCCTTTTTTTCCAAATTGCGATTAGATTCAGAACTTCCCACATAGCAAACACGTAAAAATGAAGTAGTTTATTTGAACAAAAGTGAATGGTCGAAAATTTCTTAATTGAAGGGAAACACGATGCTTCTTTATTTATTGTAGCCAAAAAACCAAGCAGAGAGCCCATGGAATTCATTTTAGGCAATGCAAATGATGCTCTCAACTATTACCTCTTCTGATATATTGAGCTTTAAGAAACATTAACAATAATGGGTTATAGAGCAGAGCTTGGAAGTCTTGAATGAGGGTAGAAGCAGAGTGAGTATGTGAAGTTCCATTCAGTGAAGATTTATCATTATTTTAGCATTAGTTTTAGTGATAGAAATCTCTGTCTTTCTTTCTGGGATTATCATCTATCCTTGAATAGCAGATTAAGATTAGTGATGAATATAACTCTTGTGGCGTGCAGTGACTACTGACTTGAAACTAAAAATAAAAACAATAATGCAAGCAATGACCTCCTTAGCATAAGCGTAACAATATATACATACATACATATATATATAAATGATTGTGGACTTTTTAACTGTAAAAAAGTTATAAGTTTTGCTCAAAACTTGGATCTTCTCTGATTAATCTTGTTTTTTGAAGATAAAGCTCATCTTTTAATGCTATTTGTTGTCGTCTTTCCATTTGAATTTGTATTAGGTCTTTTTATTTATTATTATCATTTTGATGAATTCTCTTGTACAAATACACCTTTGTTGTGTTCAATTCATGCATTAACAAGTTGGTGGTATTGATCTCCAAAAGAAACCACAGCTGGGTCATGTCTTAGTGTTCATTATTGGCTTTCGCTGCTCAAGTGTATATTGTATGAAAGATTTGCTTTTGAGACTAAACTATTAGCATCAATTCGGTTTTCCGGCAGAAGCATGAGAAAGAATGAAAAATGACCTATTGTAACAATGTAATGTGAGTAGCTTTTTTAGCTTGATAGAATGCATAAACTTAGTGATTTTTAATCTTTATTGTTGAAAAGGTATGTAAAAAGAAGCAAGAGTTGTATGCTTTTGTAAGGACAAAACAAAACTTGAATGAGAAAAAATAATGTTTCTCACCAAAAAAAAAAAAAAAAAAAATGTGAAAAACTTTTAATGTTGTATATAAATAATTAAAGGTGTGTTTTCAACTTTTCTAAGTGAAGCTCAGTTTGGATTTTGGCTCAGGCGTTGCAGGAAGAAATCGAAGGGATTCTCAGAAATCTACCTCTGAAATTCTAGTGAGCTTCCCAGAGGAGAATGTCGTGAATCCTTTTGTGGGTTGTGGCCACAGAAGCGATCCGAAAGTTCAGTCTAGCCATTCATTCATAATTGCACACTGAAGGAATGGGCACGGTGACCGTTACTCAAATGAAATGGCAAGAGGGGTTGGGGCTTAGAACCTTTAGCCGTTGCCCTCTGTTTGTTTTCAGAGGTTTTAGTGCGGAATTTCGCAGGATCACGAATATGTTATTTGGTACTTTTTTGCCTGTCAGAGAAGATGATCATATCACAGATGATCATATCACAGGATGTCTTGTAAACATGTAAAAGGGTATAGGTAATTCTATGTGAATTGTGGTTTCCATAAATAGTGTGAATTCTAATTTACATGGAGTGATTTCCCTTCTTTGTGCACAGGACCTCCTGTGACACAGGAGGGGATCACAGTAGATGTAAAAAAGTGTTTTTTTAGCAGTTGCACTCAGTTTGTTTTCAGTGGTTATTGTGCAATTTCACAGGATCACAAATACGTGCTTTAAGGAGAGTAAATGAAGCAGCACAAGACAAACGGTGTGAATCAGAATTTTGGAAACATTCCGTGGAAAGAAAATATGTTATCAGAAAAATCAGATTATCCAAACACTAATGATAAGTTATGAGAATTATTTATTTATTTTTTTTTTTTTTGGGGATAAATGGTATTAGGGACCTAAATTGACCAAAAAAAAATAAAAATAAAAAAACAAAAAATAAAAAATTTACTCAGAGACCACCACTCCACGTTCAAATGAAAAGATCTCAAACACAATAAGCAAGATTGGGCCTTAGGTTGCTGGGTGTGAATTTGGTGGTAAGTATGGGGCCCACATCTTCAGAACGGTGCAACATCATTATCTGTTAAACACGAAATGTAAAGAGGCCCGCTTTATTTAAGTGATCCCTATTACAAACAGAATAATGATGGGGAGACCAAATCTGATTTGTTTTCGTCCACTGAACAATTTTCAAAATCTGACATGTATATTTTTAATAATTCTTTACTCTCTCTCTCTCTCTCTCTCTCTCTCTAAGTTTCTATTGCCTTCACTTCTCTTTCTCAAACTCTATTCATTTTCTCTTTCTCGGATTTGGGTTCTGAATTCTTTCATAGTTCTGTGCAATCTTTTTTTTTCCCTCCCTCTAAAAATTAACGCATCTCTTTCCTCTGTGAAATTCTCACTCAGATTGATAAGAATTTTTATCTTCTCCATCTCTTTGTTCTTCCTATCATTGGCACCATCCATTTGTTTAATATCTCAAATACCTTCAAATTTGTTCCTACTCTACCATGGCCACCATCTTGACCCATAACGATCATCATATCTCTTCCACACATAAACCCAAATCTCTAAAATTGGTCTATTCATCTGTCACGGGGGCTAATTAACTTGGTCATCTTCAAAAAAACAAAACAAGAGAAAAAGAATAAGGAGATGAAAGATTTACAATTGTAAGATATATGATGACAATAGACGACAGAGGAGAGATTATTTTGAGAATGATAAATTTAAGAGAGAGAATGAAGGGTATGTAATAAATAAAAGGATAAAAATGAGAAAAAGAAGTCATAATATGAACAATAAAAATTGATGTGGCCAACCACATTAAATTCGATGTTAATTTAGAAATTTCTTTTCGGTCCCCTATCATTATTCTTACAAAAAATATATTATAATGATTTTTTAACAATAATGCTACTCATCAAGCTAAAATATAAATAAGTAAAAGCTGCAACTCATCAATATCAACAAGTCACTAGACTTTCTTTTGGAAAGCATTTTCCAATTTGTAAATGGGATCATTCAATTTCAAAGGACACATCCCAGGTCAAGCATACCAGACTCCAAACACAAAGCAATGGAACAAGCTGATTAGTTAACAAAATGGTTCAACAGTGTTCTAAATCACAAGCGCTCCTCAATGCATCCACTGAAAAACTAGCAGCTCGTAGCTTTGGTAGAGGATCACAGAATGAAATTAGACTGAAAAATGCTGGCAGCTACATATTAACAGAAGAAGTCTGAATTGGAGAAAAGTAAAGAGAGCATAAGATAATATGACTTGAAGCAAAAATCACAATCATATAGCAAGAAGTCTCCTCAAATATTGCCACAGGAAAAACGACAAATAACATGAAATTCAAATCAAAACAAAGTTTTAACTTGAACAAAATTTCCCAAAAAAATGTCATTCAAGAAATCTAACGTCTATATTTTAATATTTGATGGGAGCAATAATGTCTAGTTGGGAACCAAGCTTCTCCTCGGCAGCTTTTTCGGCTTTGACCCTCAATTTCTTCAACTGCTTCTTCCTCTCATACATCACCTGAGACCTCTCTTTCCGCTTCTTCTCAAGCTCCTACAGTGAAGAACAGTGACAGGGAAATCAGCCAACACTTGCATATAACTATATTGATTACAAAAGAACAGCAGCATGGAAGAGTGACAATTTTGTAAACTCAAAGCTTAATCTAGGTCCAAGCAAAACTAGGGGAAAAAGATTTATCATCAAAGATGCAAGGGGTATTATGTACACAAATAAACCAAAGCAACATGGAATACTATATTCATATTAATATATAGAACAAAGATCACATCAACGGGTTAGTTAAATTCCTATAGCAAAATGTTGGCAGGAAAACATGTTTATTTGACCGAGCAGTTAAAACTAGGTCTAGATATTTGTTTGGTGGTTGGTGGCAGTGATCAATTATGAATTATGTACATTAACACGATGAAGAAAGAAAAAATCAAGCAGATATGTAATTGCCGTCAGATGGAAATGAACATAAAACTATAGTTGTAAGATGGAAATGGTATAGTCATCAGTTTCAAACCCAATCAATCGTTCAAAAGGAGAAATTCCCGAGATATTGGGTGGTCATTATTTTGGGTTTCTATGTTTTTCGCTTTATTCAATGTGACAACATGCATTAGAATGAGAGGGAATCCAGCAGTACCATGAAAAAAATAAGTAGGTAACAAAATCTCACCCTGATAGTATCGTAGTAGTTCCATCCAACCTCTGAAGAGAGCCTGCCCAACAAGCAGTACTTGTGTCCTGCTTGAAGCCTCAAAACCCTGATTTTTTATAGAACCCATACATTAAAAGAAATTTTTATGACCAAAAAAAAGACTCAATCACATCTTATGAATGTACTACATATACTCGAGCACACGACTCACTTGAGCGCATCAGGGATGACCATCCTCTTCATCTTGTCATATGGTGGTGGGATCCCCTCATAGACCTTCAGACGATCAAGCGCAGCTGCTCCACGCTTAGTCTTGTGGGGAATCATCCTGCAAATCAGTTACCAAATAAGAACAAGCAGGTACTATTAGTGTTTCAAGTAGACGTACAAATCAATAACAAATAACATTTGGAAATGTCCACTGACTCTATCTTTTACTACTGTACAAGAAGTTCCTCTGAGTTTAAAATCTTTTCAGAAGACAAGACAAATTCAAAATAAAAACCAATTAAAATCCTACTTTCTATAAAAAAACATAAGCACACATCTCAACATGTTACGAGATTAAACAAATCGTTTACCCAATGAAGGAAACATGAGGCCAGGTTTTACTGACTATAAAGGCTTAATGGGGGAATTATTCTTTAGACGAACGCCAAATTATGCGATCAAAACTACAGAACTATTGAGTTTCAAATAGCAAGAATCAACAAAAAATCACTTTTCCAGTGACAAAATTAAAATCCCCAATTTTCGGTATCAAAGAGATAGAAAGGTTCCTATGGTTTTATTCTAATTTACATCGAACAATAAAATCAACCAAAATCCTTGTTTTCTGATTTAAAAAACTCAAGGGGGACCTTATTCCTACCAGGAACCCTAATTATATGAACACTCTGTGCAATTTTTATACAAATGTACTAAAATGTAGCACAAAAAGACCCTGATTCTCTAGTCAGTGCAAAAATAAACGTTTTTTCAGGGTTCTAATAAAATCAACCAAAATCCTTATTCCTACCAGGAACCCTAATTATATGGTTCTTAAGATTTCAACACTCCGTGAAATTTTTATACAAATGTAGCACAAAAAAAACCCTAATTCTCTATTCAGTGCAATAAAAAAATCGCTTTTTCAGGGTTCTCAGTGTACCAGCAAACTGAGCCATCCCAATTAACAAATGCTAAAAACACCAAAATGCCATTTTTCAAGCACCAACAAAAATAATTCCAACAGATCAAACAAAATCAATCATCAAAATAACATAATTATAAACAAATGCAAAAAATGGGTATCCGATTATCTATACATACACACGAAACTATACAGTACACCCACATGATGAGCAAATATCTCTCTATGTATCTGTATAGATCATAACAACAAACGAGTATTTGGCTAGCTGCATATATAAATAAATACAAAATGTTATCAGTGATATGATCGATTATGAGTATATACCCACGGATGGTGCGCCATAGGATCTTAGAGGGGGCTCGGAAGTGGATGGGTCCGTGAGAGGGCTTGGTGTTCATGCGCTTGCGAAGGAACCTCAGGTACTTCATCTTCTGCCTCACGAGACCACCGGAGAGGCATATCTCCTCGCACCGCACCACCACCACTTTCTGCCCGTTCAGCAGCTCCTTCGCCAGTATGGACGCCAGCCTCCCCAGCATGTGGTGGCGCGCGTCCACAACCACCCTCCGAGCGCAGATCCCTGACCCCGAAACCATTTCTACTTTCCCTGTCTACCCTACTCTCTCTCTACGAAGTGGGATAATGTCGCTGCAGCCGTCGCTTTGGAGCAAATGGAAGACAGATGAAGCGAAGCTAGGGTTTTTTAGGTATGTGTTGTGGGGTAAAACATTTTTTTTTTTTTTTTTGATAAATTGAACTCACACCCTCGGAAACCTATAATTACAACTTAGGTGCTTTTAAATTAAACAATGACACTCCAAATCAAGGTAATATACTAATGGTATTATATTTCCTTTTTACTTATTAATGGATTTATTTAAATTATAAATTTACTATTTTTAGCTTCTCAAATTTATTATCAATAATTCAATAATTTTGATCCATTTGATTTTACGAACTTGATCTGCTTCCCTAATTAGGTTTAACTTGTAATCAAGTCCAATTAGTAAAAAATTAATCAGTCCAATTATTGATTGCAATCCTAAGATTAATAATTAATGTGGCCACAAATGCTAATAACACTATGCTCCCCTTGAATATATATATTTTTCTTTTTAATAAAAAATAAAATAATTAACTTTATAAAACACACTCATGCTTTATTATTATTATTATTATTAATTCAAAAAGTAAGCGTGCCATCATATTTTTAATAATTATTAATTTTTAATAATTAGATAAATATTCACACACTCACATTTTAATGGTGTTCATTAAAATGCTTTGAGATGGTTGAAATAGTAAATTTATAATTTAAATAAGTTAATTCATTAGTGAAAGAGTAATAGTATACTTTTTTTTCTTGATTTGGGATGTCATTGCTCAATTTACCAAGTTTGAGGTGTCATTGTCCAATAAGCGCTTAAGTTGTAACTATTTGACTTTTATCCAAACATGGGAGGGTGTGAGTTCAATTTACCCTTCTTCTTTTTCTTAAAAGTATATTAGTCGAATAAAAAGTAATTAGTATAAAGTGAAAGTAAATACATAAGTATACAAGGAAAATAAATTGCATTGTATAAAATTCTGAAAAATTATTATTTTATAGTTTGAATAAGTATGAAATTTGTAAAAGGGATATTATTGTAAGTTCAAAAAAAATTCTAAATAAAAAAAAATTATTATTTTTTTTTGAGGATTTTTTTTTATTTTTATGGAAATGATAATTTTATTCTCTAAGTAATGTTACTACGAGATCTCCCTCATAATACTTCTCATGAACTCTAATATCACATTACTAATATTAAAGTGATCTCTCTGTTAAAAAATTAGTTCAAAATATTATAAAATATAATCATACGATCAAAGTTAAAAGTACGTTTAATTTGGTAAAAAGAAATAGGGTAAAACTTTCATTGATTTGTGTGATTTATTATAAATGAATTTTAGTATAAATTTTTACCATATAATCTTTATGCAATCTTTTTTTCAAGAGTTAGTTTTGAGTCTCAATATTTGTACATAATTATGACAAAAAAACAAATAATTTAAGTATCCCAATTTTGTTTTGCACCTATTCACCAAAATTGTTTCAAAAATTTTCCATCTATTTTGCACCCCCCCTCCCAAGGCAAATTTCTAATACGTAGGGAGGCTTTATTTCACTTTTATATGTTTGCGCAACACCTTTGTTTTTTTTTTTTTTTAAGGATTAATTTTACTAACAACCTCTTTAAATTTGACCAAATATTACTCTCAAATATATTTCGAAAATAACTGTTAAAATATTCAGGTTACTTAAATGACCATCATGCCCCTCAAATGTGTGTATATCTATATATATATATATATATATATATCTATATATATATATATATATATATATATGCATGTAACAATTGCAGGTATATATTTGTAATAATCGCAACCCATATTACGACGGTGACAATATTGGTTAGTCATAGAGGCAATGACGGTTGGGCATTGCAACGATGACGTTAGTCTCTTTTGCCGAACTAATAAATTGGCGATAGTCGGCGGTGATGGGGTGCTGGTGGATATTCACAGTCCCCAGTAAGAAGACAGTGACGACAAAGTAGGTGAATCCACTACCATGGAAGAAGACAATCACGGACAAGAGGTCACCAGACAATGGTGGTTTGGTGGGAAGGAAGACGCCGAATCAGAGATTGGGGGGTGGAGTTAACGGCAACGTTTGAGGTCTTGACGCCTTAAATGGACTTGGAATTGGGTGGAGCTCTGTTGTGGAGGAAGTGGACCACCAACCATCACTATCAACAGCGTTGGTTGAGCTCTGACGTTGTGCCTTCTGGGCCGGCCGGCATGAACTCTCCACAACCGTAAACGGCCGTGGCCGCCAAGTCCGATGGCGTGGTTCTTTGGGCACCCCTTGTGGGTTTCCTCGGCGCTGCTTCATATGGAGGCGCATTAGCTCCATCTGGGCTTGGCATATTGTGTCCGGACAAGTTACCGAGTGAGTTGTAACTCAGTGGTAGCTCAATCTCATCTTCTTAATCCTCCCCCTCATGATCGTCAAACTCAGACAACCAAACAAAAAATAGAAATTTCATTTGAGTTATTGCCAACCAACACATAGCGTTGCTTATTTTATTTTATGTTTTTATCGATCATGAAATTTGCTAGGTGTCTAGTGATAGAAAATTCTACACTTTTTTTTTTTTTTTCTTTTTCTCCTTGATCAGTAATGCATTGGAACTATGGAGATAGTATTATTCTTCACACACACATGTATTACATTTTGTTACAATGCATGATTGGATTTTTTTTTTTTTTTTTGGGTAAATCAATATGTCATAAAATAGGGGTGACAAAGTTTGGCAAAACTCGCGAACACGACACGAGTTAAATGTGTTTAGGTTGACCTTTAACGGGTTTGGATCGTAAATCAATCGACACGATTAACCCGTTTAATTAATCGTGTCGTGTTTGGGTTGAGGAGTTTAACTCGTGTAACCCGTTTAACTATACGTGTTATAAACAAATTTTTATTCAAGTTCCAAAATAACTATCTAAACTTGTATCTTATAATTTATTCTTTTGTAGATTAAAGATTATTTAGTAATTTTGTTGGATTGAAATTTATATTTTTATATAATTTAATGTTTGATAGAGTATTATTAATAATTTAAATAATAAAATATATGATTTTATTAAACAAATCATTAAACGGGTTAGTATTGAGGGTTCCTGATACGATTATTAAAAACTCGTTTAATAAACAGATCGGGTTAGTATTGAGGGTTCCTGATACAATTATTAAACAGGTCGTGTTTGAGTTGAACTGTTTAGTAGAATATCCTTAAATCGACATGACACGATTACGACCCGCGAATATGAATTGTCACCTCTATCATAAAATAGCAAACTATACGGGAAAAAAAAAAAAAAAAAAAAAAAAAAAAAATGATCCGGAAAGCCCAAGGGTAATTACAAACTGGGCCAAGCCCAAAACGACCAAAAAAACCAAACCCAGAACGAACCCAAAACAAATTGGATTTTGATCGAAGGTAATTAATTTTAAAAAAATAAATATAAATTGGAAGAGCAATTAGTATTTTAATTCACAGATAGAGAAAGTAGTTGAAAAAGGATAATAGATTGAGGGTGTTAGAAGGGATAAATAAAGTGGAATTGACCTAAATTTTATGTCTCAAACTTGAGATATATACTCAATTTTGACCAATACATGGAATGGTCTAAGAAAAGGGTACAACACACAAATTTTTAGAAAATGTTTCCCTCTTTCTCAATGCACCAAATAGTGAATCTTAAAAGAAAGGTGGTGACAAAATACCTAAAAAAAATTAGGTTACCATTTTTTCTTCTTTTTACAGGGAAGATTGGCACGTATTTAATACAAAATGAAATTCGTACTCTTAACCTCTTATTTAAAAGATGGAGATATCATCCAATTAAAACTGTGTTATATGTTGTAAACTTGAAGTTATAGATAGAGAGATTGACCAATTTGAAGCTAAAGAGGCAGCCCAAAACATTGACCATATATTGGAGATGATTAACGGCCAGCCGGTCCAGCTGGAGTTGCCATGGCGGCGGCGTCCTACATTTTTAGGACATGGACTCCCATCACATCTAAAAAGTATCTACATTTTAATTTGTTTTTTGAGACCGACATACATTGCAATTAGGAACACAGTATAGGACATATTTACATTTTTAAATGATTGGTAATTTGAGATCGATGGATGCTGTGGACATGATTTTGAAAGATATTGTTTAATACATAAAGACAAGATCGGGACGCATCTGACAAGATTAAAGTTTTTTTTTCTTAGTTAATACTCACTCATTCCCTCCAAAGACCCGACGAGAATAGTTTGTAAACATATTTCTTAAAGTTATTGGGGCACAGCTCATATTTAAAAATCAAATGGAGTAAGAGTATTAAAAGAAAATTTCAATCAAAACTCGATTGTGTATGTGTCTGTCTCTATATAGGCATAAATTAAATGTCTAATAAGAGGCTGAACCCAAATTTCATGGAAGAATTTATAGACCAAAAAAATTATTCATGAAGTTCTTTTCAACTAGATTACATCATATGCTGCTATTTGCATGGATAAAACTGAATATCTGTTGAACCGAGCTCGCTATATCTTCAGCTGTGTATCTCGCTTCACTAGAAACCTACACTAAGAGAGATATATAATAATTTCAGTATATATAAGAAGATAGAGACTTTAGATACATAAATATTTATATTTATATATATATATACACACAATGCTAGATTTGAAACAAAATGTGTTTATATATTTATACACCTAGCTTGACCGAAATGGAATTTTTTTTTTTTAAACGTAAGACCGAAATGGATTCTCTCCATTAATTTTTCTTTCAAAGCCATCATTCAGCAAGCCACTTTAATTAATTAAAAATATATCACATTATTACTTGTGCAACTATCTACATACATAACTAAATCATAACAAAAGTGATGGCTGAAATATGTTTGCATCGGTTGGACAATTGCTTAAACCGATAGACACCATTTTTCCTCCAAATATGTATAAGAAGTTATATATAGAGATATATGTATGGTGCATATATGTATTTTAATATATAAGAAACTATGTTTTATATATATATATATATATATATATAATTTTTTACTTATTATTATTTTTTTTTGGAAGGCTAAGCAAATTCACACAGTCAGGCCTCCACGTACTGAGACCCTACCTCCCCGTTGGAGAGGTGGGTTTGTTCAGCTAGGCTTTTACCTTGATATTGAAAGAATAGAGAACAGTTTGTTCAATTGTGGTTATGTTGGTATGAAGGACATCAAGCTGCAGATCTTGTAGCGCAGCTATGATCTTAATGAGTTGTCCTAGCCTTCTCCTCGACATGATCTTGATCATGGCATCAAACCCTAGCAGCTTCACCTCAACATCGGCCAAGCATGACTTGCTCTCAGCTGTTTCCTCTCGGAGTAGTCCCGGTTCGTAGTCGACCAGCTTGAGCTGGTGATGATCATTTGGAAGAGGCATTGAAGGAAAGATAGGTGATTGAAGCTGTTGGATTGGAAGAGAAGGGTCTCCCATAGGCCGTGGAGTGTCACCGTAGAGTCGCCGGCACTTCTGTGACTCGAGGCATTGGAGGAGTTGCTCTAGTTCTCTCACAAACTCGATTGCTCCTCCAATAATAGAAGCTTGATCTCCCTTAAATTTTCACAAACCAATTCAAATTTCAGTTACTTGGCGAAACGTGTATATTTTTGTGTGAAGAATCACACATTAGCATTGCTCTAAAAACACTCTTTTGTTCTCAAAAACTATATATTTAGAACTTACATGATTGAGAGTTTTGTAGAAAATTGTAACTTTTATGGGTTAAAAGAACATTTAGTCTTTATATTTATTTTAAAACTCTTACGTCTTTCTAAAATGATATATGTGAGTAGAGTTTAATATAATGATGTGAGTCGTGAGATTGACCCCACATCAATCTTCACTTACATAAAAACTGTTTTTAGATAATTGAACGGTTTTATTACATACCCTTTGGACATATGAGCTAGGCATGAGAGACCTCAAAACTTGAAGATGCTCATTCATTTGCTTTCTTCGATTTCTTTCAACTGCAATGTGAGTCATTCTCTGGCTCTCCACTTCCTCACTCGTCTTGATAGTTCGCGGTCTCTTTCTTTTGTTCTTTGCTTCTTTTACGGGTCCCTTCTGAAGGTTTTCGCCAAGAAACTGAAGTTGCACCGGAGTATTCTCCGACCCCCAAGCTTCTCCATCATCTTCTCTTTCACCTTCTTCTTCCACCACTCTTGCCTTCCCATCCAAGCTTTTTCCTTTAAACCTCCCTTCATTGTAACCAACAGTTTGTGCCACCACAAGAGACTCATCTTCCTGTAACTTATCATTCAAAACCGGAAACTTTAGGATCCCGGATTCTTCTTCAGCATGTTTGGTTTGATTTAAGGCCGACTTTGGATCAAAATCCGTGAATTGCATCACATCTGCAATGCTGCAGAAACCGGAAGATACATGTTGGTGCTGAGGATTGTCGAGCATGAAATCAACCATTTGATGGCTGTTTTCGCCGAATGTTTCACCAATTAGTGGCGTAGTTAGATGTTGATGATGATGGTGATCATCCAAAGTATAACACAGTCCCGGAAATGTTCCCGGCAAGGCGGTCTGCAATAATAAATTCAGGTTCAGATAGATCAACATAGTGATCATGTAATTGAATAGCATACAAACATTAGAAAATGATAGGTTTCTAGCTTATACGTACCGAGAAATGCTCTCCTTTGTCCATTACAATATGCACAAAGGCTTCTTCCAAAAACCCTAATGGAGCTCAATTCATGTATAGAAAATCCCTTGTGAAATTTTCTTGCTCGAGTCTCCAACTCCTGAAACAGTAACACACACACACACACATACATGAACATAAAAATTTAACAAGCAGTAACTCATAAGATTCTATTGAATCATCAAGATATGAAAAAACAGTTAGGCTTAGGATTATTGTATCTATGTATATAACCAGAACATCACTGTAAACGAAAGTAAGTAAGACGGAGAGTAAGTAAGACGGAGAGTCTCGTGCACTGTGTTAACCCTTCAACGTATGTATATAATAGCTATGAACATGTGTAAATTGCAACAACCACCTTCGAGAGAGTAAACAAGAAGATGAAGTGGGGGGTGTTGATGTATGGATTGAGAGGCATAGGTTACAACCATATATATATATATATATATATATATATATATATATATAGAAGTGATATCTCTCTAATAATGGGCCAGGGTTGCTTGTTATACCTAGTTTTGACTTCAAATAAATTTATTAGCAGCCACTTGCTGCGCGCAGAGAGAGAGAGAGAGAGAGAGAGAGAGAGAGAGAGAGGAGCCTGTGGATTAAATATTTGCATATCACAATTTCACCTCACTTTCACCACCTTTTATTAATGTGAATCACAAGCCAACACCGCTCATCCCTAACTTTACCACCACCTCTTTTCATGACAACTATAAATTTAAACGCGGACAATTCGAACTTTTAATTAATATACATTATAGAAATGAGATTGTATATAATTGATCTAGAGCCAGACTTGTCCAAATCTGTTCTTATTAAAATAAAATAAAAATTAAAATAATTAAAATAAGGTTCTGATTCATCAGCTCTATCATGCAACTGAAATTTAGACATCTGTTGGTCATGAAACTGAAATTTAATAAGAAAAATAAAGTAATTAAATTTCATGTCAATTTCGTAAAAATAAATTATTATTATTTTTTGAGTTCACAAAACTCCAAATGTTCTATATTTATCAAGCCTCTTAAAACATTGCAGAATTCATCAACCGACACTGTGCAATCGGAAAATTATTCTACGATGGTCCGAAGGGGTTGGAACTTCCAAGCTCTTCAATCGATTTGTACCATTATTATATACAAATATTTAGTTCACCTGTCATGGATGAAATCGATTTTAGCAGATTGGATTGTATAAGATTGTTAACAAAACTCAAATGGTCAACAAATAAGATTATTAGCAGATTGGATTGTCAAAAAAAAAAAAAAAAAAAAAAATTCGAATCAAGCAAAATTAAACACATCAAATTGATCCCCAAAAAATCATCTACATTATATAATTGTAACTAAAGTTATAATTCAAAAAGCGGAAAAGCCCAAGTGTGAAACAGAATACCATACACAGAATTGACGGACTCGAACTTCATAAATTCACATCATGATTCATGACTGGAAAGTGCATTTCCTGTTTTTTTCTTTTCATAAATAAAATCAGCCGAATAAATAGAAAGAGACAGATATTCTCGTGATAAATCTTCTCGTGATACCTCATATTCATCCCATTCAATCACAAATTTCATGAGCTTCTCATTCGCAGAGGATTGCAGTGTTCATCATCTCCCTATCCTCCCAACTCCTAAATGTATTAAGTTAAAAAGAAACAGAGAGGCGATGACCAAGATATAACGATTGCAGCAAAGAGAATGCCCCCGAACATTGGCCATGACTCCCAGGATAATTAATCAAGCGTTTCACTGGACCAATTTTTTCTCTTCTCCGCGTGAAGCATTAAATTTTTCCATGTTACCTAAATTTCGAAATAAGAACCCAGATGTGGTATTTGAGCTAGACCCAAATCATGCAGTGTATTCAAATGCCTGGGGAGGCTGAGGCTCCTCATCCACAGCCATTGCTGAGGCTGAGCTCTGTTGTCCAGTTGTCGAGCCACCAGCATTGGATACGGTAGATGAGGGTGCATCAGTGAGAGACAACACTTCAGGCTCAGTTGGACGCAAGTCTTTCAAGAGAACAAATCCTGAAGGTGCCAACTTCACCGGCACATATCTGCTTTCTTCCAGAAATTTAATGAATTTTTCCTGCACAGGAACCACCCTGGCAGGGTTAGTCAAAATTTCAAAAGACGGCTCGGGCTCTGTCTTCTTCTCTACTGGACTGTCAACCTGCCAAACAAAAAACACAAGAAAATGAAAAACAAAAGGACAGGAAGGAAAAACCAAAAAAAAAACGTGTAACTGACTCCCATCACTAGATCGAAAGGAACTGAGTGCAGCAATATGGCATGGTGACTTTAGAATAGATCTTGATTTTTTTCCCTTGGTCACAAATGAACTATGTATTATCAACACCGATTCCATGATGCTATTACACCTTTATGCATGGATACAAAGAAAAGTTCCCAAGTCATTTGCACTCTCAAAGTTCTAGGTCCATCATTAAGAGAACAAGCAATTATTGAAACTAAACTGATGTTTAAATGTGAGTGCATGAAAGAGGGGAGAGAGATGCTTAAGATTGTTGTCATGGATCATGTGAAGGAATTTTTCTAGTTTTCTTTAAAAACATTAAACACCCAAGGATATGATTTAGGCATCTTTGCAATAGAGAGGCAACATGTGATTGATATTTACCTGCATAGAGTCGCCATCCTTATCGGCTGACGATTTCCCTTTCCCCGTATTAGAGGCTACAGAAGCTGACTCTAACCCGGATGATTTTTCAGTAGTAGTCTTCTGATCTGCTGCTTCTTTCTTACTAGCCCTAGCCTTGGCCTTCGCGGAGGTTGATAAAACTGCAGTAGGAAGTTTAGAGGCTGATGTAGTGGTGGGAACAGTACTTGGTCGTGGATACTCAAACAGTGATGGTTTTGCATGGGACAAGAACTCGAATCTTGGAACTTTCAGGTCATAGTTCAGTCCAATAAAAGCTGTTGGCGAGAATGACAAACTAATGAAATAGATGAGGGGATACCAATACCAAAACTGGCTAAAAACAGCAAGGCCAACAACTGCAGTGATTTTATCATGCTTTGTCTTGGAAAGTAACTTTATTGTCACATTCCTTCCACCGGCGTCAAGAATTCCAGAGGCCAAAATTGCTCCCATCTTGCTCATGGTATCTTCATGCTTATCCAGAATTATTTTCTCCAACTCTCGCCTGAAATAAAAACAGACAATACAGTAAGCTAGAGAAAGATGATAAAAGAAGCAACAAGATAAATAAAAAATTTCTCTTAAAAGCATGGTACCTGAATGCTCCAACACGAGAATCACTAGCTTCACTAATCTGGACCATGACCATAGCCATTGCAATAAGAGCACCTTGTCGAACAAAATCAACTACATCTGAGGTCATAGGCTCTAGCAACGATATTGCTTCACTCAGACCACTACCAGCACAAGAAATGCCTACTGCCAAAGCCGCACCATACCGGACATGTGGGTTGTAAGATTCAGATAGCAGGGAAACAATGCGAGGGGTCTACAATTCAAAGGCAGTGAGATCAATGGCAATATACATAGCCAGAGAGAGAGAGAGAGAGAGAGAGAGAGAGAGACGTAAAAAGAAAAAGTGGAAAATAAAATAACTTAGATGCCAATTGAGTAACCCAAAGTAGCTAAAAATCATTATAGTTATTATAAAATCATGTACCAAAGTTTACAATCATGTGAAAATAACATCAAAGGAAATCTATTGATGACAACAGAACGCACATGACCATGGCATACTGCATATGACAAACACTTGAAAGAACCAGTAATTTAGGAGCTTCGAAGCAACAAAAATAGTGAAGGAAAATACCAACCTGTTCTGGTTCAGAATATAGGACAAATCCAAGGGCCAGAACAGCAGTCCGCCTGACATCATCACTCACATCTGATACAGCAAAGTGAAGCAGCTGGCGGATTGCCTTGTTGTTCGCCGTTCCACTGTACGCCAATGCCAAAGCATACATCCCACCGTAACGTAGTATAGGGTCTTGATCCCGAGTCATCTGCTCAATCAATGTGTCTGCTTCTTCTTCCCTCCCGTAGACTGTGAGGGCTATCCCCAGTGCCAAACCCCTGCAACAAGTAGTAACAAAATAAATATCAAGAACATAATAACAGAAGCTAAGACACTTGACGAAAGAGCCAACTTTACCTAATGATCTTCTCATGCTGTGTCTCGTGTGCATAAGCAAGCATTTCACTTGCTTTCTCACTTGCAGTTCCAACCATAAGTAAACCCATGCTAATACCAGCAGCTTCACCAGCAACAGCACTATCAGTATAAAGCACATTCTTTATGTCATCATAAACCTCTTCGTCAGCAGTTCCTAGAGCTGCCAAACCAAGTCCCAAACATGCACCATGCTGAATAACCTGTACCAATCAAGGTTTTCAAAATTATATCCGGTAATAGATATTCATGTGCATAAAGGCATCATTAAACTATAGAATGCAAGCACCTCAACATTGGTACTCCGTAGGCTATCACGAAGAAACTGTTTGATGCCCTCGCCATGGTTTGCATGAATCAAACCCAGAGCGTAGAGTGCACCACCTTCTGAGTATGGACTGCCACCACCACCGGATCCACTCTGTGGCAAGTAAGGAGCCATGAGTGATCTTCCCTGCTGCAGATGGCCTCTGTGAATAACACCTAGCCCTGCTGTTGCACTAAACTTAGCCCAATTTGTTGCCCTGCTCAGCCAGTCCTACAATTTTAAATAAACAACACAAGAAAATTATTACCTACCCAATAAAAGCCAAAAGATGAACAAAACGAATATGCTGCTGTGCAAAAACAAGGATAGTTTCAGAGATTGGAAGTGCATAAATGATTCACCAGATTCTCCCTGAGAAATGTATCCACTGTTGTTCCAGCATGCATAATCGCATTAGAATATATAGTTGCACTGTGGCACACACTATTTCTCATCTCAACAGACTGCTTTATTGTCTTAAGAATAAGAAGATCCGACCTAAATGTAAATTCACAACCATCAGCAGAAGAACTTTCTTCAGAATTTAAAGTAACTCCTATAAATAGAATTTGAGTCAGAAGTAGAGAAATTAGAATATGGCAAACAAATCAATTGCCTCACTTGTTATGACTGTATAGAAATTGTAGAGTCAACTGTATTGAAGTCTCTCCAGACAAAATTCCTTTGAGTTTTGTTAACCTCTCGGCATAGGTTGCTTCATTTGGATCCACTTCATGCACACCCCCATTAAAAGCTTGAGTTTCATTTGTCATTTGAACATCCTCTGATACAGTGGCATTTCCATTTTGATCAGTATCTGGCACAACGGATTCTTGCTGCACCGGTTGTGAAGGTTGAGTCTTGGGAATAGACAGCCGGTCTCTAACTTTCAACAGAAAAGCTTGGTGCTCATTTTCTACAAGGTCAAAAGCTATTTGAAATGCCAGCAGGGCATCTTCCTTATTTTCAGACCTAAGAAACTTTTCCAATATGCTCGCAACACCTTCTGCTTCATCCAAGAACATGAGGCACTGACAAATGCTCAAATAATCAGGAGACGGCAACTGTTGATATACTTTAACAAGAAGACGAAGCACCTGTCAAAAATTAGCAGAGGATAAATACATTGTGTGTATCCCAAATCACTATCTTCTCTTCCCAAAGAACTTGTGAAACAATCTCTAATTAACACACCCAGCAATTGTCAGAAATGAGCTAGACAGCAATGAAACCAGAATACAAACATTTGATCAGCGTTGTAACATAATCATATTTATGAGACCAGTAAACGAGGCTTGACTGTTCAACACTATAATATATATAATGTCATGTTTAGCTCCATTACAGATCTTTTTGTAAGTTTATTCCCATCCCTTTTTTCCTTCTCTCTCTCTCTCTCTCTCTCTCTCTCTATATATATATATATATATATATATATGTATATGTTCTTTTAATACCATCCTCAATTACATATTCTAAATAAGCTTAAATGTTTATAATTTCATTTCCAGCTCACCGCATTGTTTTAAGCTTCAACCATTATGGCTTGCTTGTAATTATTAATTAAACAGATATTTCATGGATTGATTTTCAATTTATCATCAGAATAATTCAATTCAGGCAGAAGAATCGAACATTAATGTACAAAAAAACATATATAAACCATTTTAATTCTCTACATTTAATCAACTAATCTACTTTATCACCTCATATTCAAAAACGAAATTACCTCACCCAACCAACCAAAAAAAAAAAACAAGGGGTTTCATTTCCTTACTCTATTTCATCACTTTGCAGTTTCTCCTACTTTCTTTGGAATATTTTATGGAAAAAAAAAAAAAAAAAAAAGGTTAAAATCAATTCATCTTTCAGGAGTCATTCCAATTCTAAAATTACGTTTGTATGTTTTTGCAAATTGCAGATCGAAAATCTCTCTACATGAGATTACAAATCATCCAATTAGCTACTGCATTATCATTTCTTTTTCTTTTTTGATGACCTGTAGACTTGAACGAGGAAACCAGAATTACAAGAGGTGATCATATTATTGGTGTTAAAGCAATATGTTTAAGAGAAAAAATTCTGTTTCAACTACAAGATTCCTGGGTGTTTTCATTATTATGAACAAAATGTACCAAAAGTAACAGCCAAAAGATTCGAGAGCTGTTTTCTCACAAGACACGTTTGACACAAAAAATATAGTACATGTGTCTTTTTTACCTCATGTCGATATTCTCTACGATTTACAAACAAATGAGAGATATGAATGCAATAGGATAGAGTGGCAGGAACAATATCACTCCTCGTAATTCCTTCCTCAAGCTTATCCAATCTTCGGCATTCAAGTGCCATTCCTATAGCTTGTTGATATCTTCCATCCATTATACACCTTAAGGGGAAAAAAATAAAAAGAAAGGAGCAATGGTAAGACAGAGAGGAGAGACACGTAATTAAGTAAAAGAGAAGAAATTTACGTACTTATCCAGCATCCTCTCAACAATGGCCTCCAACCTAGTATCCACCTTTGCTGCTTCATCACTTGACTCTGCCGCTTTAGTCTTGAGGCTTGCATATTCATCTATGGCTTTAGCTGAATGATAGAACAATGTGACAAAAATGATTAGTAAGTTTACACACTGCAAAATGTCTAAACATCCACAAGCTTCCAATAGTTAATGACCACCATAGATATGAAGCTTTACATGATCACACAATTACATTTACATTCAAAAGTTGATCTTGATTAATAACCCACAAAAAAAATGAGTTGATCTTGGTTTCTAAACTTTCTTAAGACTATCATTCACATTTAAGTGCTAAAAGGGAACCGATGCTGAAACACAAGCTAAATTTTAAATTCTAGAAGTAAATACATAATTTTTCAAGGAGAGAGGAAGAATCAAAGGTGAAAATTATACCAAGAAGAGTATGAACATAATCCGAATCCTCGGAAACGTCAAATAGTGGACCAGCACCGAGGGCATATGATAATGAGTCATTAAGTTCCCCCAAATAATAGAAAACCTGTAGATAGAAAAAGAGGAATCAATTTATAGAGACGACAAAGGCTTATAAAATTACATATCTCAAGCAATAATTTTTCAACTTTCATCTTCACATTTGATAAGTAGTCTGTTGTATTATTACCAATAATAAACAAGATCTGTTGACAAATTCTGGATGCAAATTTAAAAGAAATACTCAGATTGCAGAATTCAGTACTTCGCAGAAATACGCAAGATCAGATTGGAAGGTAAATGGTAAGTTCTCAAGCCTAATGAGATTCACGGTATCCACCCTCATTAAACAGCCACCAAAAGATGCACCAGATTACTCATGATATCAGAAGGGTGGCCACCCTTCATTACTTATTTGTGAATATAAATATGCTAATATATACATGTACATATGATGCATGTATATTTCTTTGAGTTTGTATATCATCACGTATATTTAAAGAAGTAATTAGAAATTTGCAACTTCCCTGTCCAGAAAAGGAATGCAGCAATCTCGTACCAGTTGAACACATCAGCTAGATCAACTGCTCATTGAACTAGCCTACTAGGTTATGTCACTATACTGCCAATTTGATGACCACAAGTAAACAAGTTGTGCTGGACCTCGGAACTAACGAAAGGTTGTGTTTTCCCGTGAAGGTTATGCCACCATTGCCAATTTGATGAGCACATGTATCAGATGTAAACAAGTTGTGCTGGCTATTTGGACCTCGGAACTAACGAAAGGTTGTGTTTTCCTGTGAAGGTGTTTGGCTGAGCACAGATGATTGCATTTTTGTTCTATGTATACCAACAATTGAAACCTGAGTATATTGTTTGCAATGGTATCTTTTACCATACTCTGAAGTTTTAAAATGTTCTCAAAAAGGATAACCATTTCCCACAAGAATTCACAAAATAAGGACTTGAAACTCTATGTAATCTCAACACTTTCACAATTATAAAATAATAATATTTTCCTAGACTTGAAATTCAATTTTTTTTTTTTTTTTTTTTTTTTTTTTTTAAGTAAAAAATTTGGACCATTTCTCGATTTGTGCGTAACTTGAAATTTAAAATTTTCAGACTACATTCTAATTATGAGATTTCGTTTTATTTAAAAAGCAAAGCATGTTTAGCATACTTAATGATTAACATAAAACAAAATCTCGTAATTAGAATGTAGTCTGAAAATTTTAAATTTCATGTCTAGAAAAATATTATTATTATATAATTGTGAAAGTGTTGAGGTTACATGGAGTTTCAAGTCCTTGTTATTTTGTGAATTTTTGTAAGAAGTGGTAATCCTTTTTGAGAACATTTTAAAACTTCAGAGTATGGTAAAAGGTAAACATGCATTTGAAATCTTCAGAGTATGCACTTGTTTAGATACATAAAGATTAACACCAAAAATCGAACAACATATTCCTTTCCATAGTAGCAGAGAAAAACTAAATTCAAGTACTGTCCTCGTCCCAATCTAGAAAATTGCAAAACCAAACAATTAAAAACTCATTAAATGCACGATTTTGTTAATTACTATTTGAGTAGACATCAGTTCAGGCTAAAGCAACCCCACATTATCATTGGTCGTCATATGGATTAGATCATCCAGCTTCTTTTTAAAGTGGAAAATGCTACCATACAAAATTCAATTAACCAAAAAACTACTTCCTTTAGTCCATTGAAGTAATAATTTTAATAATAATAAAAATAAAAACCCTTGAAAGCCACTTTTAGTAACTGAGCATAATTCTAATAATCTATGCAGAGGTTAAATCCACTTGAATAAGTTCAAAAAACTATTACCTTCCTATAGGAGATTTAGAGTCACCACTATTATGAGTCACCTCCATACCAACAAGAAAAGCACCAAATTCCTTCTCTAAACCTCCCAACCCCATAAAACTTGGAGAAGCAAAAGATATTATGGCCTTAACAATTTTACACAATGCATCCAATGCTTGGTTGACCCGGATTACCAGGAGAACCATATACATAAAACTGTTAGGCTGAAAAGTACCTTCCAGAGGAGAAGACCAACTCTTCTAAATCCTAGGTCCCAAAGGGTTTGCAAAAGAAATACCCAAAAGAAGGGTATTTTGCCTGGTCCAAAGGCCACCACAACTCCACACTTCCACAGGGAGCAAAAAACATGAAACTTGGATATTTTATTTAATTGGGTTTGAAATGTTTCCAAATAAAATGATCATTACCCAATGTGGTCCCCATTAATCAAGGGTAATGGATTGGACACAAGACCTAACCTTGGCACTTTTTGCACAAAGTTGCTGCGCTAAGGATTCAAAAATCAACAACATCATGCTTGATAGTCTAAACAAATTACACTGCACCAGGCAATGACCCCTAGTTCTAACAAATATTAGCTTATTTTTCTCCATCTTCCTTGCAACCCAAATGAGCAGAAAAACCACAATTATGGGAAAATGTTTTCTAAATGTAAGAAAAATAAGCAATCACATGAAATAAGAGGACACTAGCACAAATTAAAAGTAAAGGAGGAAAAAAAAAAAAAACGAAGCAAGTTATGACCTTTGAGACGAGCAATGCAGCCAGTTGTCTTTGGTCAAACTCTTCATCTTCATATAAGCTCTCTCTGGATGAAAAAATATATATATAAATCACAAACATTCATCTCTAATTTAAAAATCTTAAACTGAACAAATTATAGTTCCTAAAACATGAGCACAGGTATTCCAGTAACACCATATTTTTTATGAATGATAAATACCAACATATTGCAAGCTTACTACTCAACTAGCCACTAAGACAATAAAATTGCATAAGAATAACCAAACATACTTAACACTGAAACGTTAAAGGGAGAAAAAGATAAAAAGCAAAAAACTTATACAACAAGCTGGCTATAGTAAAATGCATGATCAATAAGCAAACAACGAGAAAAACCTGGGGCTCAGAATCATCAAGCAAGAATAAGTTGAAATTTCAGGAAAAATTTTGTGCGCAAAGAATATGTAACAGTGAACTCATGTGGCAGATAAATAATGCAGCTAAGACAAAACAAAATTATATGGTATATTTCATTAATTATGTTAACAGTTCATAAGTTATTGGCAACACTTAATATTTGTAAATGATTCATGTAATACTAAAACACAACACACATTTGCTAGATTAAAAATCAGAACGTTAATCAACTCTAAGAAAATAGATAACTCAATGAAATTATCAATTGAAACACCACCACAATTCTGATAAAGATGTCCGAGTCAATCTTCATAGCATAAATAATATATATATATATAACATTCACCTCAAGAAGAACCATGATAATTAAAAGATGTAATCAAATCAACACCAACGCATATGTTACACCTTAAAAACAGCATTATTCTTGGATAGCTAAACAAGGAACAGTTTCAGCTTATCAAACTGTGGGCATAACTAGGAGCTTCTCAAAATATAATAAATAAACAAAGCATGTATTCTAACCTAATTCAAGGAAACAAATTAAACACACTAAAGACAAATACAGAACAACAACTGCAACACAAGTTATGCATATAATTAGATTTACTAGGTTCTACCTTGAAATCAATCGAGTCTTTCACATTTCTCTTCTTCTAAAATTTTGCTTTTTAGTCCTCTTACCTACTACATCGATTTCAACAAGTTTTAATACTTTGAGGTAATGCCTTGCCTCCCCCATGAGAAAAGAAAACATTCATCCTATTCTACTCTTTAATTATGTCAACCAACATTAATTGTTAGAGCTCATTTTTTTTAGCCAAAATTGCTTTCCTACAAATATTTGAAAAAATTGGGGATTTTTCAAAATTCCACCAAATTTTCAATTTAACTAGGTTAGACTCATATCCGTGCAAGGTACACCAAGCAAATGGAGAGAAAGCAAATTTAGAAGCTGCCAGATTTAGTAAGTTCAAAATAAACATATCCAAATTTTAATCCTTGCCCACACACAGCCCAGACCCTAAAAATTCAACTTCTTTAGCACAAAAGAGTTGAACTTCACCATAGAATCTCCTCATAACAAAGATCCTTCAATTTCTATCTTTCCCAAGACACCAGATAAGGCATGCACAGCTCTTCTCTAAAACCCTTTTGCATCTGTTGATTGTACTCACTCATAATTTCTTAACAACACAAGGAATAAGCTAAATGAAACCCAAAAGAATGCAGATAGAAACTTGCACTCAACCAGCCAAGTACGTAACAAATTCAACTTTGTCAATTCGTTGGAACCCAAAAAGACATTTAAAAATAATCTAAAGATTCAATAATCAATATGTTTACTTTTCCTCAATTTTCTCAGTAACCAAACAGAGGGTTAACTAAAAAAATAGAATCTTGCACTCAACAGCCAAGTACGTAACCAATTCAACTTTGTTGGTTCGTTGGAATGCAAAAAAGCTTTAAAATAATATAAAGATTCAATATGTTTACTTTGTATACTTTTCCTCAACTTTCTTAGTAACCAAACAGAGAATTTCATGGGACGAACAAATCAGGAATAATCAAAACTCAAGAACCACAATTCCATCGATATACATAATTACATATATACGTATATCTATATAAAAATATTTATATATATAATCAGCAAAAGATATAGAGAAAAGGAGTTGGATTGGAATACATGATGGGTACGCTTGTGGAGATCTCGGGCCAGAAATAGTCAACGAAGGCATTGAGATTGGAGAGTGCGTGGAGCTTCAACAACGGATGGGTCTCGTTCAGCATCGCCAAGAGGCCTCCCGCCGAGCTCACCATAGTTGCCATGGCCGTTGCAGCAGCGCCGATTCGAAGAAACAAGGGTTAGGGTTTGGCTGTTAGATCTTCGTTAGACTAGGTTAGGGTTGGGTTTTTGAAGACGAAGAAAACGGAAAGGAAGAGCAGAAGACTACAGAGAGAGAGGGGGCTATTTGTATTTGATTGTGTGCTACAGATGTTTTTCTTGCGGATGCAGCAAGTGAAACTCAGCTAGGACTTTCCCTTTTTTTTTCTTTCTTTTTTCTTTGTTTCCTACGACTCTTAAATTTATTTTATTATTTAGTATCTATTTATTATACCTTGTATTTATTATTTATTTTTAAAACTTATGTTTAGTGGAGAAACTCAATATTGCAATAGCGTTAAAAAAAATATATTGCAATATCTATTTTCTTTAGTAATGTAATTTATTTTGATGCACCCTTGAGCAAAATCATTTCTCTATAAGTAGCCAATAAATTTTTTTTTTTTTTTTTTTTTTTTTTTACTTATTTGCCATAAAATAATAAATTGTTTTTGATTTATTCTTGAAAATATCAAGCAAATTTTTTTTTTTTTACAAAATTGAGGATAAATTTCAATAGGTCATATGCATTATTTTATGTTTAAAAACAATAATTTTTGACAAGATTGAAGTAATCAAAAAAATATGGATTCAAATATATTTTGTTACTTATACCAAAAAGTTACTACATTTGATCGTGAATAAATAATCTATTAAATTGTTTATATGTTCTAGGTTTCGAATAAGGGTAAAAATAAGATTTCATTTTAAATTTAATCCAATTTCAATTCATTTTCTAAATTCAAAGCCCAAAAGGATTTAGTTCCAAACAAAAGTGTAAATTTCAATGGCTTGATCAAGGTCTATTTCAAATTTGACATAAAAAATGATAAAAATAAAAATAAGTAATTATAAATTTAAACAATATATATATAAAAAAAAAAAAAAAGAAAAAAAGTCATGGTTCATCTGACTTGCTCTTTCCAATAGAATCCAAAATTTTCGTAGATACTTTTATTTATTTGTAGTGGAAATATTAAGTTGTTATCCTACTTAAAACGTTGATTAAAAAGTCACATCATCACTATTCACAAATGAGTTTACTGAAATATTTTTGGTGTTATTAGAATAGTACATTGTTGTGAAAAAAATAAATTAGATAAATACACAATATGTTAATACCAAATTTTTAATTTTCAATTAAACGAGAACAAAATAAGTTAATACCAAACAAGCTCAAAATTAAAGAGAATAATGTCTCTTAATTGAAGAGAAAAGTACCCTATTATCATATCTCTCAACAATACCGAATTTGATATATATACATACATATATATATATATATATATATAGGATAAAAAATTTCAAATTCGAATTTGTTAAAAAAAAAAAATGAAGAGAGAAGGAAATGTAGAAGAATTTTAGTTTTTAACAATCCATGAATTCGACTAAATACTAAAATAATGACCTCTAGCACACAATCAGCTAGGACAAAAAAATAATAGGTATGATAGAGGATAGAACCTTTTAGACCCATGTCAAATCTCTTTATTAGTTGAAGTTTAATAATTAAAGAAAATATATATATTTTTAAAATAAGTTATAATATATATAAAAAAAATACTAGGTATAATTTTTGGGACGATCGGCCTAAGCTCGAGCCGGTATGAAATATCAATCCGAAGACAGGTATGAGGAAGCCGATCAGTGAAGAGTGAAAAGGGTGGGTCACGACACAAGCCCACATCGGTTTTGAAGTAAAAGTTATATTAGTTTATATTAAGAAACATGATAGCCTGCACTCAATCAGAACCCAGGGTGTGGGGCGGAGCTTGTGAGTGGCTTTGTTGGGTTAAGCCAACCAACCATCCCTCTTTTTTCTTTTTTCTTTTTTTATTTCTTTTTTTAACCAAAAAAAAAAACACAATCCCCCTTTTTTTTTGGAAAAAACAGAAATCATCGGATGGGTACATGGAATTTTGAAACCACAATAACTGTGGACTATTGGGGTTGGGCTAAATACTACTACTGTAAGCCCAAATCCTTAGGAATTTTCACAATTTACATTTAAACCAAACTTTCATTTTTTTTTTTTTTTTTTTTTAATTTTGGGAGGTCACTTTATTTATTATTATTATTTTTACATTTGTACTCCAATTTTAAAAGGAATGGCACTATTAATCATAATTTCACAAGTAAATAATAATTATTTTTTAAATGACACAATTATCCTTTCAGATTTTGTGTCAGTTTTTTTTTTACCAAACAATTTAATAACGAAAAATATCATCTTTAATTATCAAATTTAATATGGTGGGTAAATAATCACTTACTAAATCAGAAATGGTGATTTGATTACCATCTATAATTTAGTAATTAAAATAGAATGTGTTCATTTATTATTGGTCCACATCAACGATTAGTAAGGAGTGAGGATCTAAGTATTATTCGAACTGAACAATGTATAAGTTGACTATCAAAAAATACGGATTCAAATATATTTTTGTTAATTATACAAGAAAGTTGCTATATCTGATCCAAATAAATAATCTATTAAATTGTTTATATGTTCTAGGTTTCGAATAAGGGTACAAATGGGATTTCATTTCAAATCTAATCCAATTTCAATTCACTTTCTAAATTCAAAACCCAAAAGTGTAAATTTCAGTGGCTTGATCAAGGTCTATTTCAAATTTGAGATCAAAAATGATAAAAATAAAAATAACTAATTATAAATTTAAAGAATTTTTTTTTTAAAAAAAAGTCATGGTTCATCTGACTTGCTCTTTTAAATAGAATTCAAAATGTTCATAAATAGTTTGATTTATTTGTAGTCGAAATATTAAGTTGCAGGCTTCCTACATTAATGACATGTTTATTAAAAAGTCGCATCATCACCATTCACCAATGAGTTTACTTAAATAATTTTGGTGTTATTAGTATAGTACATTGTTGTGAAAAAAGAAATTAGAAAAATACACAATATGATTTTGTATCTATAATTACAGAACAGTGATAAATGTCATGAACTCTTGTCAACAAAAACACAATATTTGAATAGGTCCATAAATTGAAGCATATTTGGTTCAATTATAATACATACAACAGTTCTTTCCTCTTAGAAATTCTGTTTGTTTTAACTTATTTTTTAAAAAAATTGTCAACTAAAATAATTTTCAAGTAATTTTCCATTTTCAGTTTAACAGAACAAAATAAGTTAATACCAAACAAACTCAAAATTAAAAAGAATAATGTCTCTTAATGGAAGAGAATCGTACTCCGTTTTCGTATCTTTTCATATATACATATATATTAAGATAAATAATTTTGAATTTGAATTTGTTAAAAAGAAAAATGAAGAGAAAAGAAAATGTAGAAGAATTTTAGGTCTTGCTTGGTTTGTAACTTAGAACATTTTTTTGTTATCAGGAAACTAAAAATAGAAAACTGTACGAAAAAAATTGTGTTTGGTTTAGTTTTTTGAAAACTGTTTTAGAAAAACTTAGTTATAGAAAGACTTATTTTCAGAAGAGTGTCTTTTATTGATATTTGAAAATCATTTTCTATTCTCTGAACTATTTTCAGAATTAAAAACCAAACGAGCCCTAATTTTTAAAGATCCATGAATTTGACTAAATACTAAAATAATGGCCTCTGGAATCCAGCCAAGAATGAGCATTTGAAAAACATAATGATTCCATAGACAAGACAATAAGAAAAACCATTATGAGCATAGCCAAAACCATCTCCAAGCTCTTCAAATCTGAAAATGGCTTTCAAGATACCCACACCTTCATAAAACCAACTCCTCTCTCTCTCTCTCTGTCGTCAACACTTTTCAAGATCATCCCGCCAAAGTCACCCGGTGCTCGTATATCTAGCTGCCATTGTGAGTTCAGCATTTGTGATATATATAATCGAGCACACAAGTTTTGACACTACTTTTTCAGGTTCGAGAACAACTAATGTATTAATTGCCAAAAAATTCAGATTTTTTTCATTGAGTTTGCCCAGTAATTGAAACCTCCTATCTGGATCATCTTTGATTTTAATTCAAATACAGATAAGAAGATGGGTGTTGATAGAAAGGTCTTCAATTCTGATGAAGTCTCTGTGCACAACAACGCAAAAGACTGTTGGGTCATTATCAATGCAAAGGTAATCAAGTTTATTCTCTGATTTATCAATATATATATATATAGATTAATTTCAATACTAGAGAAAGGTTAAAAATCAGTTCATGTTTGATGATTGTCTCTCATTCTTATTGTTTTTGTTCAGTTTGAGAGGTTATGAATTCATTGAGAAAGTATTTTTTCTTGGTAGGTGATGTTGAAGTTCTTTTAAAATAAAAATTAAATGGAAACCTACCATGCCTGCTTGTCAATTTTTGGTGACACCATTGCCATTAGTATATCATTAGAATTTCTTATATTTTATGTATTTTTTATTTGGCATCTTCATATATTCATTAGTTTTGTGTTCAATCATGGTTGGTTACATTATTGTCAATTTTAGCTACTCCTAAACAAAGTTCAAGCTCGAGTGTGACCACTAATTATTGCTAAATGTTAGGTTTGTATCAAATTTATTCCTCTCGACAATACCCTCTTTCCCGATTATCAAAAGAAAAATATTTTTTACGCGGATTCATAAAAGTTTTTATCTCACTTATTTTAATTTTTTCAATTTTGCCAAAATAGGCTTATGATGTAACAAACTTCTTAGCTGACCATCCTGGTGGTGATGAGGTTTTGTTAGCTGCAGCAGGTATAATATAGAAAAGTAATGCAAGTATTATATATATATATATATATATATATATATATATATATATACATATATGTATGTGTGTATTTTCTTTTATTGTGTGTGTTTTGTAGGGAAAGATGCAAGTGAAGAATTTGAGGATGTTGGTCATGGCAGTGCTGCTAGACTAATGTTGGATGAATTCTATGTTGGAGAGATCGATCCATCGAGCAGTCCAGAAAAAACATCATACACGCCTCGAACGCAGTCTCGCGCCATTAATGATTGTAACAAACCATCCGAGCTCATCATCAAGCTCTTCCGATTCCTTGTTCCCCTTACAATCTTGGGTTTAGCTGTTGGCATCCGCTTCTACAACTGAAGAACTTGATGCAGCGACCAAGTTGCAGGTTGAGATAATCTATAATTCGTGTGTGTATATATATATATCATCATCATCGTCCTTACCTTAATTTTATATAAATAATGTATACATATATCTTATATCTCCTCGATTTGGTCCCTGAAACTTGAAAGGGTAGCATCATGGAAGAAGTGGTCATCGTTGTTTCCTTCCCAAAATCATGATAATTTAGGAGTTTGTTGTTCGTGTGCTCGCTCTGTGTCTCTGTCTCCATCTATAAGTGTGTGTACGTTGTCTCCACTCTCGTGTTTGTATGTTTGAGTACATTTCAATTCTAAGTGTATATTGTGTGTATGCATACATTTCAATAAATATTTGAAGATCTTATTTAGTTTTTGTGTGTTTTGATGCTGTCTTGTATGTTGTTGTTAAGCAATAATTTTGGCAATATGCTGAATTTTGCTTACATGGGATTGGAGTGGATGAAGCTAAACCTGATGTCATCAGGCTAGTCACAGATGCTGCAAATACATTTAAAACTGGCAGATACTCTGTGCTTTCTGAGTCCTGGAGTTACATCTTTCAGGAATTGTTATAGGACAGTTACTGTCAAGTAAGTTACCCTACATGGCCCTGGAATACGTGAAAGTATTTCATACTTTCTCACAGGAATACATGGTCTCAGCTAATCATAATTAGTCACATAAGCAAAAAACTGACCCATCTACTTGCGTGTCGATTGTGATTGGTCCGAACCATATAATCCCGAAACGTGTAAAAATTTCATAGTAATGACCTACTCCGCTCTCTGAGTCTTGGAATTACATTTTTAGGACAATTACCCTACATGGTCTAAGACTACGTGGCCTTAGCCAATTACAACGAGACACAAACCAAAAATTGAATAAAACTGACACATTTGCTTGCGTGTCGGATTATGGTTATGATTGGTCAGGACTACATGGTCCCGGAGAATGTAAAAATTTCATAGTAATCACCTACTCCAGCAACTGTAAAAACCAACCCTCTAGCATTGTGCCAGCTAAAAAATGAAATTCAAATACATATACCATAATCCCGCCCTTTTGAATCTTCCTTTCTACCATTTTCAACCAGAAAAAATTTGCAATTGTCTCGTGCAAAGATCAGTTGCTAAAAAAATAGTAATGATGGTAAAAACTACAAGATAGGGCTCCAATTGCGAAGTAACAAGATTGTTGTGTCAACAATATACAACTATCAAAGCAATTGGTGCAACTGGTGCAACTATAGACAAGTTCTCCACGACTGCAAAAAAAATAGTAATGACGGTAAAAACTACAAGATAGGGCTCCAATTGCAAAGTAACAAGATTGTTGTGTCAACAATATACAACTGTCAAAGCAATTGGTGCAACTGGTGCAACTATAGACAAGTTCTCCACGACTTTAACAGCAGCTAATAGAACTTTCATAGCAACACTTGCTATAAAAGTCGATACTACTCTCGCAAGAGCACAGACAAACTTCTTTCACTTACAAAACCGCCTGCAAAGAATCCCCTTCACCACAAGTAACAGCACAATCCGTTATCACGAGAGGCTAGAACCGGGTAGGTAAATCCGCAATGTGGATTCATAACACAGTGACAGACAGCATCTTCTAGCTGACAAAAGGTGCATTCTCACATGAAGATAAACAGGTCAAAATAAATCTGTGCATAGCATTAGAATATGTAATAATAGAGATGATGAAAAAATGAAGAAGTTAAAATGGTCATTTTATTTCAAGGCTCCTTTAAAAGTTCCATCACTACCAAGTATAGACAACAAAGGGAAGGAAATATAGAGGGTGCAGAAAAAAACAAAATCTAGTAAATTCCTGTACCACTAAACTAAACCTAATTTATTGAACCCTAATGGGCCTACCCCTATCACCTTCTTTCCCTTCCCTTCTGATGATCTAATAGTTAACAAAGGGCCTTGTTGCATTTGTTATGTAACTCGCTAGCTCCTGTTATGATACAGATTATTAGTCTGCACTTTAAATCTTTGACAGCCCTACTTCTTTCTTTACACTTGACAGAAAGGTGATGGAAAATGGAAATAACACCATCACCATAAAAACTAAAACAATTCCTGCTACTGTTTCCAACTATCCTAAGAATAAGGTCAATAGAGAATCTGCAGGAAAAGTTGTCCTGACGGAACAATAACACCTTCTAAGGATCCAATTTCACCCATTCGTATTGTCCAGGGAGGGGCTCCTCATTCAAGGGATCAAAATTGTACCTACAGAAAAAGTTCCATAGGAGAAACTAAATTAGCAGATGGGAATATATACGACATGCAGTCAGACATCACAAGCAAGCAAACCAAGAAACAAAATCATGGATAGACATGCTATAGAAATAAAAGAGGTATACTTCTCAATAAATTGTTTTTTCTGCTCTTCTTCTGCACCGGAAAAGAACTCGTCCATTTCGTTTTTCGTTGGGATGTGTCTTCGAACTGAATTTTGTCTTCTACCTTTGGCCTCAGTTGACCTGGTAGACCTAGTTGTAGAACCAGGGGTTCTGATGGTGTCTGTATCTCTAATTAAACTGCATGGTGTGGTTTCCCTGGTGCTCCTGTTACAGAGAAGATGTAATCCCATTAAAATCAAATAGAACAACCAGCAAAGTAACCCAGAGAAAGAGACAGAGATGGAAATGACAACAGCGTGAAAAACTATGTATCTATGCATCACATTTCAAGAACTTTTTCTATAACTAAGATAACTGATGCTAAGCTTTTTGCCACAACATTAGCATAGAAAGAAACCCATAGCGTGTTGGCAGAATGCTAAGAGAACCAAAGAAACTCACTTTGGCATCCAACCATCAATGATTTCATTGTTATTATCACACCCCACCACCCCAAAAAAAATATATAAAAAATAAATACAGTGGTACATCATGCAGGGCACCAAGACACCTATGCATTCATCAAGATACAATAAAATCAATGATTAAGTAACTTTTTTCTTCTTCAACCACCAATATTCCAAATTCATTCTTTTTCCTCTGTATTTCTCCCATGGTAAATAGTACAGTAAGAAATATACTTTTCTGATCATTTGGCACTTTAAACACCATAAATCAAGCAAAATACTATTTTGGTACTGATTTTATTACAAACGAAGAAAAGAAAGATCCAAAATCTTACAATTTTTGGTTCTTTAGGCCAAAATCAACATTATTGATTAAAGATGATAGGATATGAATGGGTTGCTACAAACATTAACACCATGTTCAGAGCAGTTCAAAAAAAGTATTCCATTATATAATCTCTCCACACCACATCTAACCCAAACTAAATTGGCCAAACAACATTCTTAATAAATTAAAGAGAGGCATCGGACAGGGGACACAGAATAAACAACAAAAAAAAAAGGTACTTTTCAGAGAATGAAAAATAATAGCACTGCAGACAAAAATATATAAATGAGGATATATTAAATTAAGAATCCAGATCTTCAAATCACCAATGTAGTTATGCTCTGGAAACAAGAGCAAAACAAATAGAAGGATAAAATGCCAAGTAATCACATAAAATGTACATATAGGAGCATAAATAGTATTGACTTTAAAGACTGGTAGCCTGGTAGTAAACTATCCAAGACTCTTTATTTTATCTCATGGTTTCCAATTTTTTTTTATATATAACCCACCAGAAAAATAAGAAAGTGGCCCAAACTGTATATATGAACAGAAACTGACTGCTGGAGTTCTCAATATATATATATATATTTCTTACAGTTTTCCTTCCCCTGCAGTGGGGAGAGATAACAAGAATTACAACAAAAATTGTACAAACGCACATCCTTGAGCAAATCAAAGGGAAAGGATGACTAGAAAACTTCAAGGGATATTTTATTTACAGATCAAAATCCCTCAGATACATTTGTCCAGAGGTTTTCTTAAACCAATAAACAACAGTATACATATCACTCCTACACAAAAATATATTGAATACAAAATTTTTAACAGAACCAAGAACAACACTGTCATAGTTTTCTCTCCTCAATAACAACCTAAATAAAGCATATAAAGCCTCATATTTTCTCAGCCATCAAATCAAGCCTGATAGGAAAAATATTCTTCTAAGGCTCACTCGAAAATTGAAAATTGAGAAAAATATTAATTTATCTCTTTGTAGATACTCTCAGCAAGAGCAAGAATGAACAAAATACAACAGGACAACCCATCTCTCTTTCTTCAAAACCCAAACACTTCTCCAAAACAACAGAAGGAAAAGATTTGAAATTTTTATTTCATACACTTCCCCAAATTTTCTCAGCAACCCAACAAAGAAAAACCTTTAAAAAACCATATTAATAACAAGAACAAGTAAAACACAAATAAATGAAGAAAATAAAGAGAGAAATAATAATAATAATAATGCTTTAACCAAACGAAACTTACCTCTCTCTGCCTTCAAAATCCAAGACATTCTCTCCAAAGGAAGCTTCAATTCCCAAATCAACAGCGTTGTCTTCCTGAATTTCTTTCTCTTCCCCCACCAAACGACCAACAGACCCAGAATTGACAGAACCAACCCTCACCCTCGAACTTGCACTTGAATTAGGATTTGGCGCACAGCTTTCTTTGTGCTTCTGTCTCTTCGAATCGTCACTGGTCACCATAACTGTAGACTTCTGGAGTCGTCTACTTCGGAGCTGGAGATAGGAACCGCCGGAAACCGCCGCCGCGGGAGCCGATTTCTGGAGTCTCTGCAAAGCTAGGGTTTTGGCTCGGGTTCGGACGCCAATAGACTGAGAGACCTCCATGAGAGCGACCTCGGCTACTGTTCTTGACTTCCTCGTGTACTTACCCATCTATAAGCTTCCCTGATAACGCTAAGCTCGCATAGGGAGAGAGAGAGAGAGAGTACAGGTGGAAAAATGAAAAAAAAGGTAGGAGAGAGTGTGATGAGAGAGAGAGAGTGTGTGATGAGAGAGAGAGAGAAGGAGAAAGCGAGATGGTTTCTGTTGTTGGATAGAGTGAAAAAGGGTCAGTTTTCAGTTGGTGGTTAGAGAGAGAGAGAGAGAGAGGAGAATGCACAGAGAGAAGAAAGGGAAAGAGTATTCCTGCAATTTGTACTGCCTTTGTGAAAGAAAGGGAAAGAAGAAAGGAAAGTAGGGTTGGGGTTTCAGCGCTGTACTTCCCAATTTCTCACGATTCTGTATATATATATATATATGTGAAAATTTATCCACTTTCTATAGTAGCATCAGATCTACATAGAAATCCACCTATATTATTTTTTCTTCATATAAAAGTACTATTATTATTTTTAGTTTTAAAATTTAATATTTAACCGTACCACTAATTACAATGTTACGTGAGTTCAGGAAAAAAATTATTTTTATTTTTTTTTAAAGATGTTCCATGATATGCCATTAGTTTAATTTTTTCTACTGTAAATAGGTTGATCGAACTTGTAAATTCAGTTTGTACAGAGAAAGAGAATTTTTTTTTTTTAATATATTTACTCCAAAGAAACGTGATTTATAGGGGCCAAGAGGTTTCTAATTTTTTTTAGGTAATTATCTTTTATTATTATAATTAATAGTATTGATAAATATTAAATCAAAAATATATATAGGTGAATTTTTATCGTGACTATTAGATTAGATTAGACTAGATTAGATTGTATAGTCATTATAAGAAATACAGATAAATTCTCTTACTGTACGGAAAGTATTCTATGCTGGAATTTGACTTATGTTGAAATTTGACTTATGTTTAAAATTTTATTTTTATTTTCAAAAAAATCACAAATATATTCTCTACTGACATCATAGGAATAAAACTCTAAAACTTAAATAAAATAACACGAGACACACCACATTAATCATCTAAGTTTCATAATAGAACACAGTAGAGTTTAATAAGTTTAGAAAAATAATTTTAAAGTCGATAAATTGAGCAGAATTACTTAATTGAATGCTTTCAATTAAATTATCATAAATTTTAAAAATAGGACACCCCAATTTGAACCCTAATATCACCAAGCTCACTCAGATTGTGATCACCTTAGTTTGAGATTAGATAATTATTAAGAGTACTTTAAATCCTTCAAAACCACTTTTATGTTTCACAATGATTCAAAAAATAATTATAATAATCATAATCTTTCACTTCATTTTTTAAGGAATAACTATATCTTCTTTATTATTAAAAGAATAAGTGGATTGTAAGAGTGCAGAATAGAGTGAGAATTAATCATCTTAAACATAATTATTGTTTAGTATTAATAAAAGAAAATAGAAACATTTTTATTCGTATCAAAGAACAAAATAAAAAATAAAATAATCCGATCTACATAGAAATATCACCAATTTATCACGATTCTGTATATATTTATATATATATATATATATATATATATATATATGAAAATTTATCCACTTTCTATATTACCATCACATCTACATAAAAATCTACCTATATTATTTTCTCTTAATATAAAACTACTGTTATTATTTTTAATTTTTAAATTTAATAGTTATTAATATACTAATTACAATAATAAAAGATAATTATCTAAAAAAAAATCTATTTACTACTTGATAGAAAAAAGAAATAATTTTAATCCATTAAAATTTATGTGGGTAAAGTGTTGTGCAAATCACATATTACATGAATTGATCAGGTAGGAAAAAAATATATATATTATTTTTATTTTTTTTGAATCGATGTTTCATGATATACCATTAGTTTAATTTTTCTATTGTGAATAGGTTGATGGAACTTGTAAATTCCGTATGTATGGAGAAAGATAATTTTTTTTTTTTTTTTTTTTTATATATATTTGTTCGAGAGAGACGTGATTTATAGGATGAAGAGGTTTCTAATATTTTTTTTTAGATAATTACTTTTTATTGTTATAATTTATAATTGGTGATATTGGTAAATATTAAGATTTCTATCCTGACCATTAGATTAGATTTAATAGGCAAATAAATTTTCTTACTTCACGGAGAGTAAGATATCCTACCCTATATATATATATCACATCAAACTTGTATATTTATATGGTGTACTCACTTGTTACTTTTATTGATCTCCGTTGAAATTTGACTTATGTTTAATTTTTTTTTTTTATTTCCAAAAAATTCACAAATTTATTGTCTAGAGATATCATAGGAATAAAATAAAATAAAATATTGAAACACAGTAGAGTTTAATAAGTTTAGAAAAATAATTTTAAAGTCGAGAAATTGAGCATAATTACTTAATTAATGCTTTCAATTAGCATGCCAAATATTTAAAAAATGGGACTCCCCAATTAAATGTATTGAGTTAAATAATTTTGCCTTAACTTTTGAACTCAAATATCACCAAGCTCGAGATTACATAATTATTACTTAATACTTTAAATTTGCACCACTTTAAATTTGAATTTTTCCCAAATTTATGACAATATCTATTTTTTAAATTGAAATTGATGATATACTTGTCCTTCAAAACCACTTTTATGTTTCACAATGATTCAAAAATAATAATAATCTTTCATTCCATTTGTTAAGGATTAACTAGATCTTCTTTATTATTACAACAAAAAGTGGGTTGTAAGAGTACAAAATAGAGTGCCAATTAATCATCTTAAACATAATTATTGTTTAGTATTAATAAAAGAAAATAGAAACATTTTTATTTGTATCAAAGAGCAAAATAAAATTTTTTATTCAACACTAATTTATGTCACGAGAACAAATTTTAACCAGTCCTTTCAGGAGATGCGACTTAAAGGGTGATGCCAGGGCATTTAAATGGGAAAAAGGTTCCATGTCCAGAAGATGTGCAGGTCATGTGAGATGAGATGATGTCAAAAGCTTGTTAAGTTGAAAAATAATAATAATAATAATAATTATAATAATAAAAAGCTTGTCGATGCCTCAGATAGACCTATTTCAAGAAATCAGATCCGTGAACATTTAGATCTAGTATCGAAAGTGCATTTAAATCGATAAAGTAATACTCATTGAACAACTAAGACTTTGGGGAAGCAATTCCGCCTTCCTATAGATACGAATATGACTAAGATTAATAAGAATACGGTAAGATGACTAAGATTAATAAGAATACGGTAAGATTATTAATAGTGTTTAAGACTCTTAATACGAATATGACATGATTATTATACGTGTAAAACGACATGACATGACATGCGTAACTTGTTTAATATATGGATTAAAATTTTATATAATACGAAAAGACATGTTTAAATCATTTTTTATATGAATACGACATGTTTATTTTACACGTTTAACTAAATGGATCATTTTTTACACGAACATAATACGTTTGTCTGACACGTTTAGTTAATCAGGTCATAATCGTGATTACAGAGTCAAACAAGAACACGACACGTTTAGTTAGCGAGTTAATTCGTGTCGACACGATTACGGCATGAACACAAGCTTTTATATTATATCGTGTTAGCGTGTCATGTCAAATATTGCTACTCCTAGTTTAAGTTGCATTTTCGTCGGGGGTGGCAATTTGTGTGCGCGGGTCGTAGTTGTGTCATGTCGATCTAAATGTATTATACTAAACAGCTCAACTTGAACACAACTCGTTTAATGATCATATCAGGAACCCTCAACACTAACCCAACCTGTTTATTAAACAGTTTACATGTGTAACCCGTTTAATGACTTATTTAATAAAATAAAACATTATATTGTTTAAATTATTAATAAATACACAATCAAACAATAAATATTAGAAAAATATAAATTTCAATCCAACCAAATTACTAAATAATATCTGATCTACAAAAAAAAAAAAAATAATAATAATAAAATAAAATTTAAATTTAAATTTATTTATGACACTTATAGTTATACAAGTATAAATAAGTTACACATGTTAGACCCCTTAATCCAAACCCGACATGATTAACTAAACGAATTAATTATATCAATTCGTTTACGACCCAAGCCCGCTTAACTCATATTACATTGACGAATCGTGTTAAACTTTGCTCACCTCTCATTTTTTATCTAAATGTGATGCAATGAATGTAGGAGAGAAGGCCAAAAAGGTGACAAAGTCAACATAAAAAACTGTAACTACAAGAAAGATAAGAACCATATTCAACTAAATTCATGGGTTTTTAGACTCTTTACACTTTGTTACCACATCATATAGATCAAACAAAGTCAATATTGAAAACTTGCCAAGATCCAAAAACAAGGCTATTGTTTTTCTCTTCTCACTCATTCATAGATAAGAAAATGGGACCATTAACATGTTCAAGTCATTTGCTTAGCCAAAAAGGAAAACATGCACATATAAAAAGAAAAAATATAAGCCAACTTTGAGATAAAAGCCAGTGGAAATCTTTTATATTCAAGAAAGACATGATAAACACCATCTTTATTCTCATTTCTTTATTCTTGTAAAAAAGAAAAAAAACACACTCTTTCATGCATAAAATGAATGGGTAGCCTACCATCAGATAACACACAATTAGACATATTTTATCTATTTAAACAGTAGAATTTCGCAATCTGCTGTTTATGAGATTTCCATGTATCCATAATTGGAAACATTCTGCAGTTCAATGTTAGACCGCTGCGAGCTTATATAACATCTTTATTTATTTTTTCCCATGGTAACCATAAGCTTCTATAACATCATCAAGACTAAACAATGGAACTAACTCAGGAAACTGTACAGAAATTAAACTAAATCCCCCATTAGCAGCTAAGATTAAGAAAGAAAGTCGGGTGTCCCAAGTATAAAATGATTTCTGGAAGTGCTTCCAGAGATGGCACTTCTGGAGAGCACTTAAAATGGTTTTAGCTCGTGGAGTTGGTACCTTCTTGATCTTGTGAAGTATCTGTGAAGATCAGCGCAGCTGAACTATCTTCTGGATCCCGCAGAGCATCATCACCTGACAACACTGGATCAGAGGAAACATCTTCTACATCATCAGGATCATCAGAAACATCCTCTTCAGACTGTTCACCTTCTAGCCTCAATATTAAATTATGCATGACGGGCGGCTGTACAATCTCAAACTTGTGTTCTGATGTGTGCTGCTGATTAAATCGGCCAGTAAGCTTGGAGGAAGCGTTATAGCACCCTTCACATAGGTCAAAACCTATTTTCTCAACACAGTCTTTGCATTTGTATCGTTCACCAATAATTGGACACATCTGAATAAAAAGCAAGGGTTTAGTAAATTTAACCAGTTCTAGGCAAAAGGATGGTGAATTTTACATTGGATTTGGACGGTTTACTAAACTAGTAGTTGTAGTAAGAATTTTAGAAGTGGCAACAGAGACATCAGAAAAGGGTTTATTTCGCATAGTTTAGAGGTTAAACTAAGAATTCATATTCCAGTAGAGGTTTATCCTATCAAACCACTCTATGAGATCCAAAATTTATGCCAATGGAAGAGGAAGGAAATGATACCTGTTGGCATATATGAGACTATTTCCATTGTTCTTGTTATTATTATTATTATTTTTTGGGTCTTTGCTTAAGAATTGGATTTGCTTCTGCCAACATACCTACTGAGTGCCAGTAATAATTCCAAGGTAAAGAACACCAGCCAAGGTATACACCCTTCGTTTCATTTTTTCCAATAGCCAGTAAGATTACTTGTACGTTTGAGATTTTTGTTAATGCCCATAATTTTCAAATTTTAAAACACGTCAAAACATATTTTAGAGGTTCAAACTTCAAAGAATGCTTTCAACCAAGCCAAGGAGCCAGACGCTGAGATCCCAATCTTTTTAGGCTGCTTGTTGGCTGCAAACAATCCTAGAGGATCTATTACGACAATATTGAATATGTGATCTTTGACAATGTTTTCTGACATAAAAGGACATCAAAAAATCAGTTTTGTTCAGAGAAAGTAGTAATGTTTGTCTAAATGGATCCAGTACTAAAAAGGACAAAACCACTTACAGAGTCATCACATCTAGGCTATTTGTAACTATCAGGTTGTCAAGAATCATTCATCTGGGATTAGTTTTTCCTATTACAAGAATCATCAAGCAACTCTGCCACATTTTTGAGGAATGGATCTGGCATTAAGAAATGAAAGAATAATGACATTACCCCGCAAAAGTCACAACCAATTCCAATATGAACCTTGGGCCCTTGGCCAGACCACCAGGACGAGTAAATATTGGTAGGCATTGACGATGTCCGGACAGCATGCTGCTGAGCTTGTGTTGAACCTGAATATGAAATGCCACGGAAGTCAGAGCCTGCTAATGAAAGTAATAAATTTTTGGGAGCATCACGAAAACTGGATCAAACTATATATGCTACTTAATGTATAGCAAGAAGCATGGGTACTCCTATAAATATACCAGCAATTCTCATATACTCCTCGTTAAATTTGGATGCGGAAATAAGAAATGCAAATAGGAAAATGGAAGAGAGAAAGATGGAGAACACAGGTATATACATGGTTCAACGCTAAGGCCTACATCCTAAGGGCTACATTTCTATTTTTCAGATCTATATATTGTTTGAGTACAAAGAGCCTATATATAGGCATGGTAAATATAAGAGAATATAAAAGGTATAAAATAGTCAAAGGAGACACCGTGATTGGTGAAGGGTTTTGCTCCACCGTTATATAGAAATATCTATATATTTCAACACTCCCTCTCAAGTTGGAGCTGTAACAACCCAAATCCTCATGAATCCGGATCATTAAACGGGTCCTTACCCGACCCAAAAACATCCGAGGGTAACACGATCATTTCACGCTAAAACTAAATATCAAAGTCCAAAAAGGACAAGGTGGTAATTTGCCACAATTCAATAAATTGAGACTCAAAGGGTAAAACAGTCATTTACTTGCATCACATAATAAATAAAATAAGGTTCGGGGTAATATAGTCCATTCGGTGGTCAAAACATAATTATTTCATTTTGGTGGGTCATAAAATAATTACTTGTTACATCACTTAGGTGCCAAAGTGAAATTTTAAGAACTTAAAATTGCAATTACATAAGAGACAGAAACTGGTCGACGTATGTACATTATACGTCGACTGGTTTGGGTTATGAACAGTGAAAACCCACTATCAGATACCGGTCGACGTATAGGATTTTACGTCCACTGGTTTGGAACATGATACCAGTCGACGTATGGATGTGCAACAATGACCTACACTGCCAAGATACCGGTCGAGGTATGGGAAGTTACACGTCAACCAGTTCTGGGAAATTCTCACTTCCACTTCCCACTGTCCAATGTAAACCTATGTACACCAACATTTGGTAATTAACCACCCACACCATTACATTCACGTACATATCTAGATACATTTCAACACTAAATTACAGTATCAACCACCACGTTTTTAACGTAATTCTCCACACGTTACTAAAATTACATAAAAGGATTTAGAGTGGATGGAACTTAATTACATTACTCCAAGGGCTATATACAAAATGAATCCAATCATTTTACATGTTGTAAAAATAATACATATTGAGTCAACATTTTTACAAAATTAGGACTACAAAAGGTAACAAAAAAGACATTTTCCTACTCCAAGCTAAGGCTGAGTTGGATTATCGTCAGCTACTTCTTTTCCATGTCCTGAAAAAAAATGATAAATATAGTGGGGTGAGCAATTTGCTCAGTAAGTGGCGCTTAAGATGCACCTCTTGAGTCCCCGTGAATCCAAAACAAAGAATAGGCCAATGGGGTCGGGATCATACAATTTAAGAGAGAATGCAACATAGTCACCAATCTCAACACAAATAATAAGATGAAATGGAAATGCAATGCATGTCGATATTGCTCCCCATTTTCACATTTAAAACCATTACTTTCAAATTATTAATATAACCCGTCCTTTGGTGACCTCGCAGCGACACGAGAGAAGGATTGGCTAGTGTCCCTGACCTTTGGTACCCCCGCGGCGTCATTATGGGGCCCAGCTAGCTCAACCGTGCTAGGGCGACTCCCTAATTCCCTCTAGGCTATATTAACACTCCGGCCCTTTGGTACCCCCGCGGCGACTGGGTTTTCTCAAATCAATTCAAATCAATCTTCTCCCCAAAAAAAAATCCCCTTTTTATATTTCCAAAACATTTTCCATCATGCAACCCCATGATTTACATGTATATATCATGCTCTTACCACTTTAACAATAGGGATTTTCACATAATACAATAGAGCATGCTTCCATCCATCATTCAGAGCATGTAATCAACACAATAAGCATAAAACTCATTATATAAGCATGTTTTTCATTTAACACAATCAAAACAAATGCTCATATATTCACATATACACAATTGAAGCATTTTAAATTACAATTAACATAAACAAGCATGTTGTGGCACAATTCAAGTAGATTGACTCACAAAAGTGCAAGAATATGCGGATTAGAAAGCCCCTATCTCAAATTAACATAAAACCCTCAAAGTGGTCTCTAATTTTGAAGGCCAAGAGAAGACTCCAAGCTGGAATTGTTGGTATGAATGCGTAGAGTTCGTCGTGGGCTTCGTTTTGCCTCAAACGGCACTCGAATCCACCAAGAATTGAGGGAGTTATCAAGATTCAAAGCTTGAAGCCAAAATAAAAGAAAAATGAAGGGAAAATGGAAGAGAGAGGGAAGCTTACGGGGGAGAGAAAGATAAGAGACCAAAAAATGCGGTCTCTAGACAATAAATGGGATAGTGGTGGGTCCCGCCATTAACTTCTCTTTTCTCTTTTTCTTTATTCTTTCATTCTACACCACGTACACTTATAAATGCACATTTAACATGCAATCAATAAATAAAATAATTATGATGCAAATGGACCCAACCCAAAACCCCTGTACACAACTGGCACACTCCGCAGTGTCCAGTACGCAGAATGACAAAAGACTAAAATGCCCCCCCTCAGCGAAAGAATTTTAAAAAAATGGAAAATGACGAAAATTGAAAACATCACAGTCTCCCCAACTTTAAGGGATTTCGTCCCCGAAATCAAGCCATACCTGGGGAAGAAAACAACGCCGGGTACTTGGAGCGAACCTCTTGCTCAGGCTCCCAAGTAGCCTCCTCGGCTCCGTGGTGTCGCCAAAGAACTTTCACTAGCGATATCGTCTTACCCCTTAACACCTTCTGCCGTGTGTCAAGAATCTGAACTGGTCCCTCTTCATAGGTGACATTTTCATCAACGTCCACATCAACCAAATCCAAAATGTGAGATGGATCCGGTTCATACTTCCATAGCATCGACATATGAAAAACATTGTGAACCTTGTCCATCCGTGGTGGTAAAGCGAGTCTGTAGGCAACCTCTCCTACACGGTCCAATGAATCGGGGCAACAACTTGCCACTTTTCCCAAATCTCATCAATCCCTTCCGTGGAGAAACCCGTAAGAAAACATGGTCTCCCACCTCAAAAGATAGCGGTTGTCTTCGCCTATCCGCATAACTCTTTTGTCGACTCTGAGCTGTGAGCATTCTCTGTCTAATCAATTTAATCTTCTCAGCAGTTTCGAGTACAATGTCGGGTCCTAAGGCGGCTGTCCCGCCTACCTCAGTCCAACAAACCGGAGACCTACAAGGTCTGCCATACAACGCCTCAAATGGAGCCATCTCAATGCTCGCCTGATAACTGTTGTTGTAGGCAAACTCAATGAGTGGTAGATGATCTTCCCAACTGCCACCCAAGTCAAACACACATGCCCGAAGCATATCCTCCAAAATCTGGATAGTACGCTCCGACTGGCCGTCCGTCTGTGGATGGAATGCCGTACTTAGGTGCAACGCTGAGCCAAATGCTGTTTGAAGTCCTTCCCAGAACTTCAAAGTGAACTTAGCATCCATGTCCGAAACAATGGTTACTGGAACTCCATGTAACCTTACAATCTCCTTCACGTAAAGAACACCAAGCGCCTCTGCATCATCTATTGCCTTAATAGGCAAAAAGTGAGCCGTCTTGGTCAATCTGTCAATGATGACCCATATGGCCTCGTTGCCTCTCCGTGACCTTGGAAGACCTGTCACAAAATCCATAGCAATCTGCTCCCATTTCCACTGCGCTACCAGCAATGGTTGCAACAACCCTGCCGGTCTCTGATGCTCGGCCTTTACCTGTTGACAGGTAAGGCACTTAGCCACAAACTGAGCAACATCTTTCTTCATCCCATTCCACCAATACTGACGTCTCAAATTGTGATACATTTTAGTACCACCTGGATGAACTGCAAAACGGGAAGTGTGAAACTCCCGTAGAACATCCTCACGACAAACTGTGGGAACAACCAACAAATCTCTAAACCGTAGACCCCCATCTGCATGCAAGGTCCATTCCTTCACTGTCTCACCACTGAAGGCCAAAGCGTGAATGGCATCCAAATCCGGATCCTGTCTCTATGACTCAATCACTCGTTTGACAAGAGTAGGCTGAGCCACAAGACTAAAAAAGAATGCCGACTCATTACAAACATCATCATCAAAACACTGCAATCCCATTTCTGCCAAATCTTTGAGCATATTCCATTTCCGAATAGCCAAACCGGCCAAAGTTCCACGAGATTTCCGGCTTAAGGCATCTGCTACCACATTTGCCTTACCCGGATGATACTGCAAGTCAAAATTGTAGTCCTCCAAAAACTCAACCCATCTTCTCTATCTATTGTTCAAGTCCTTTTGGGAGAAAAGGTATTTGAGGCTCTTGTGATCCGAGAACACTTCGAATCGCTCACCATACAAATAATGTCTCCAACACTTCAATGCAAAAACAACTGCTGCCAACTCCAAGTCATGAGTAGGGTAGTTATACTCATGAGTCTTCAACCGTCGAGACCCATAAGCCACTACTTTACCATCCTGCATTAACACATAACCCAGACCATCCCGCGAAGCATTACAATAGATTACATAACCCAAGCCACGCTCAGGTATCACCAACACTGGAGCCGTTGTCAATCTTGTCTTCAACTCTTGAAAAGATGACCCACAGGCTTCATTCCATACAAACTTAATCCCTTTCCGGGTCAAACGAGTCATAGGAGCTGCCAAACGGGAGAAATCTTTCACAAATCTCCGATAATAACCCGCTAGACCAAGAAAACTACGGATCTCAAAAACGTTCTTGGGTTGTTCCCAATTCAAAACTGCTTCAATCTTTGATGGATCAACTAATACTCCACCTTCTGAAACAACATGCCCCAAAAACTTCACCTCTTGTAGCCAAAACTCACACTTCTC